TCCACATCCTCTCCAGCATCTATAGTGGAGGGAAAAAATTTTATACACACATGTGTAAGTATTATCACAAATGTATATATATCACAAACTGTTGTCAGTGGATGAATGAGTTTAGGAATGATTTGTATTTTCTTCTTTATACTTTTTTCTATTTTCCAAAATTTCCAAAATAATTGTTATACAATGTTTGGCCCAGTGCCTGACACAAAGTAGGTACTCAATTAGTACTAAATGAATATTTTATTCTTAGAGCCACAAAAAATAAATACACCCTTTTATGTAAAGGGAAAAACTTTATCTGTCTCCAGAATTGACCTAGGAGATAGAACTCTCAATATTTGCCAACCTTGTGATACTTGTCTAAAAGTAAACTCCCAACAGATACAATCTCTTCAACCTCCACTTGATGTTTTTCCTGGAAATAGTTCCTCAAATTCCAAAACTTACATGTGCATGTGTGTTCACTTACAATATCACCACATACCCACCAGTATGGCTAAAATTAGAAAATAAAAATATACAAGTGTTGGCAGGGACGTGGAATAGGAATGTTCACATTCTGCTGGTGGGAATATAAACTGGTACAGATACTCTTAGAAAACCATTTACCAGGATCTACTGAGGATGAACACATATTTAATCTATGAACCAACAATTACAATCCTTGGTAAATATCTACAGAAGTGCATACATATATCTACTAAAAGATATGTATGAGAATATTCATAACAGCACTATTCATAATAGCCAAAAACTGGAAACAAAATATCCACCGCCTATAGAATGAATAAAAATATTTTTGTTATATTCTTACAAAGAGAATACCATACAACAAAAACATGGGTAAATCTCATAAACATAATATTGAGCCAAAAGAAGCCAGACACAAAATAGGCAAAACTAATCCATGCAGTTAGAACTAAGTGTAGCAGTTAATCTGGGAGACAGGGGAAGCAGAGTAATGAGGAGAAATGTACATTACATTTCAATATAGTAAAAAAAAAAAAAAAAAAAAAAAAAAAAAAAAGCCACCAAAAACCAACATTATTCTAGTAAATCAATTCCCTGTGTTCTCTGAATGGTTTCAGGAGCTATTTATATAAACATCTATGTGAATAGTTCAATTAAATTGTGTTCCTTCTAACATCTACTTAATATTGCTTGCACTGAAATAGGGGAAAGTGAGCACCAATGATTTTCATACAACATCTCCCAATTAGGGTTTGGATAAAATTTTAAATTACAGAGACATATAAGGGCCATCCCTACTCGGAGTTACTAAATTTTAACATTGTCATATTTGCTTCAAGTCATTCTATAAAGGAAATAAAACATCACAGGTAAAGTGGAATCCCCTTGTATGATCCCACTTCTGCTCTTATTTTTCTGTTAACATACCTAGAGGCAAACGGTATTCTATAATTTAACTTTTTAAAAAACATTGTGCAGACCAAATAAACCATGCCCCTGGGTCAGTTTATGGTAATTTAGAACATAAAATTCTTCATTCAGAGGCTAATAAAAGTCCATGCTATATGTGAAAAGGGTGAGGAAACAATAATCCTGCATATTAATACCTTGATAAGAAGGAAGTTATTTCTTCAAGAAAAGAGTGAACTTTCTACTAACATACCTATTAAGCTAAATTTTCACCTGATAAAGTGCCACCTCTTATTCTTCAGTTTAAATCCTTCTTAACCTTAACAGCATATACCTTTATTATAATAAAAATCATTTTGAACTACGTGCCAGTCTTTTGATTAATCGCATAGAATCCCATGTCTGGTCTTCCAGGAATCAAACTAAATCAAACTAAATCAAACTAGTATAGAAAAATGGAGTAGAAAAAGATTAATCTAGCTTTAGTTTCACTCAAGACATTATTCTGATCATTAAAATAAAAAAAATTTTAATGGAAAACTCCATTTTGGCTCCATTTCCATAAACATCAATGGAAAACTAACTTCCTAGTTGAAATACAAATGTTATATCCATAGAAAAGCAGAAAATGTTAAATTATATACAAAAATGCTTTTGTAAGTAATATTATTCTTAATATCTTATTTTAAAAAGTAGAAATTAAAAAAATTTAATATGTCATAAGACAATCTAACATGCCTTAAAATAGGCAAGTAAGCAGACTGAAGTCCCCTAAATACGAATGCTCCCAAATGGAGTTTTGCCTTGTTGGGCAGCTCCAATTTTTCGTAGTTATTCTATTCCTGCATGAAAGGAAAATGCCTTGGCTTTTGCCGTTATTCATGCCCTAGGGAACTCCTTGCCCTACTGGCTTCATTTCAAAATATACCAAGCATGAGCACTTGCAAAATGGGTATTGGAGGAGACAAGTGTGTTAACATTTTAAATAATGAGCCACTTAATTCTGCCTCCAAAAGTTCCAACTCTCTACATAATCAAGCAAAACAGATGTTGAGTCTAGATTATAAAATAAACACTTTGATTTTAACCTTACCTATGCAGTAATTCTCTGAGTTTCACAAAAAGCTCTTTATTTTGAAAATGGAGAAAAATCAGTGCTCGAGTTATCTTCAATAACTCTATCGGTTTATAGTTATCCAAATGTTTATGCAGAATTGAAGCAATTCTAAAAAGAATGATAAAATATATTAAAAATTCATTCACTTATTTATTAAACATTTACTGAGGAGCTCTTTCATGCCAGACATACACTGCTTTAGAGGAATGAATAAAATAAGGTTTTCTGTTCTTGAACAGCTGTCTCAAGGTGACAGAAATGTAAACAACAAAATAGAATGATATAAGAGCTATCAATGAAGTGTGAATGAAATAATATTTAATTATTAATAGTAAGAGGAGGAGGGCGCCTTGATTGCTCAGTTAAGCATCTGACTCGATTTCGGCTCTAGTCATGATGTCGTGGTTCATGAGTTTGAGCCCCACGCCGGCTCTACACTGACTCCCTCTCTCTCTGCCCTTTCCCTACTTGTGTGAGAATTCTCTCTCTCTCTCTCTCTCTCTCTCTCACTCTCTCTCAAAATAAATAAATAAATATTTAAAAAATAATAATAGCAGGGAAAAGCATAAGGTTTCACTTTCTAAATTAAAAAGAACTCAGAAAACAGCCATCAAATTCCACATCTTCCCCCAAAAGAAATCTTTATCAGGATTTACTAACAATTAGCAAAACTGATTTAATTCTCTTCCTTAAATCCACTGGCCCTCTAATGGAACTGATTAAAAACAATGAGAAATGCGCCAAGAAATGGGGCATAAGGAATACTTTAAAAAGGAACATATAATTGATAATAAAACATTAAGTATATATCTGAACTATGTATTTTTTTTCTTCTTAAATTTCAAGTAAAAGAAAGACAATATATGGAGGTATGATTTCAAGGTAACAACTGTGCTATGAAACAAATCAAGTTCACATAGATGCCCTCCACTTTCCAAGACTAAAATGTTCTGGCTTGAGAATAACAATAGCAGCAAATGAAGTGAAAAATACTATAGACAATTTAAAAATCTCTACCTTAAAAAACAAGCTATTTAATAAACAATGCCTTAAGTGTTAATTCCTTATTTCTTCAAAACCAACAGCTAAATTATAGAAAAAAAATAAGGCATCCTCAAAAAAAAAATAGTTACTTATGAATGACAACTAAAGATAAGGCCATGAATTTCAGGAAAGACTACTTTTTATTCAGATGTGAATTTCTGCTTTCCATCTCTTCCATTGCTCCCATCACTGCCAAGGCTTGCTGGCTGGTTAGCTCCTCTGACATTAATAATATAGTTGATTTAAGTCTAGAAGAAAAGAAAAATATTTTTATGTTGAATAACTGATGAAGCCTATGAAAGTTT